TAAAGACATAAATGCTAATGGAAATTAAAGTCATAAAAGAAAGAAATGCAGAATGAAATTGAGAAAATAACAAATGTAGAACTGAAATGAAAATGCAAAGAAATACAGAAAGAGTGTAAAAATGTGTAATCGATGAAAAAGGCAAACACACTTTGAAAGAAATCAATTTAAAAAGAATGCAAAAATATTTCCAAAGAAATGCATTAAAAAAAGATATAAAAAGAAAGAAATGGATGAAAACTGCATAAAGAAAGAAATGCAAAAATAAAAAAAATTATAAAGAATTGCATAAATGCATCGGAAAATGTAGAAAAAAATCCAGAAATAAAGAAACAAAGAAAGAAAAGCAGAAAGAAATGCAAAATAAAATGCAGAAGAAAAGAAATGCAGAAAGAAAGAGAGATGCAGAAAGAAAGAAATGCAGAAAGAAAGAGAGATACAGAAAAAAACAAATGCAGAAAGAAAGAGATGCAGAAAGAAAGAAATGCAGATAGAAAGAAGGAAAGAACGAAAGAACGAAATACAGTAAGAAAGAAAGAAAGAAAGAAAGAAAGAAAGAAAGAAAGAAAGAAAGAAAGAAAGAAAGAAAGAAAGAAAGAAAGAAAGAAAGAAAGAAAGAAATAAAGAAAAAAAAAGAAATACAGTAAGAAAAAGCACAAAGACAGCCTATATTGCTGCATTTAAACACACTGGGTTCACAGCTTATAGCCGAAATTATGAAAAAAAGACCAATTTCATCAATTTAATTCTCCGTCCTACTGAAAATCTCCCTATCAAATCCCTCCCCTTGGTGGATTCCACCCACAAACTCTCTCTCTCTCTCTCTCTCTCTCTCTCTCTCTCTCTCTGTAGAAACAGTCTGGCTTCAGAGGCATTTTCTTTGTTAAAAGGCCTGTAATTGGGCTAATTGCAGTGTGTAGGGAGGCAAGCGGGACACTCCAGTGATGACGGTCTAATCAGAGGGTGTTGGGTGAGCGTGCGTGTGTGCACGTGTGTGTGGCCATAGGGGTTTCATTAGCTTCAGGCTGGCGTGACGGGGGGGAACTCGTTACAGGGTGGGCAGGGGACAAAAGGGACGAGAGGGTTTTTTTTTAAACAAAGACAATGAAGTGTCCGATGAAGCATTATGCAAATGAATATGTATAAAAATTAAGAGGATGAACTGATTCTAGCCTGTCAACTCTCTGGAAACAGCAGAGGTAATGCAAAAATGAAAATTTACTCCCCATTTACTCCATTATTCCATACTCAAACCTTCATGAGCTTTTTTTCTGTTAAACACTATAGAATTTAGTTTGAAGAATGTTGGAATCAGACAGCCATTGACTTGCAGCTTTTTCCTACTATGGAAGTCAATAGCTAATGGTTTCCAACATTCTTCAAATTATCTTATATTGTGTTCAATCTGATTTGGAAACAATGGATGGAGAGTAAATGATGACAGAGTTTTCATTCTTCAGTAAATCATGCCTAAAACTAGTCATTTTAACAAAACTTTGTTATTTACAACCCCTGTGAACAAAATGTTGTTCAGTTCAAATCTGATTAAAAGAGGCCATTAATACCTATAAGTGTCAGCAGGTCAAATCTACCTGCATAACGCTTTTATATTCATGTTGTCATTTTTTTGTGCTGCTTATATTTAACATTCTATGTTGCTAGGCAGCGCCTTTGACAAACTGAGCTTACAGGGAAACATTTTCAGTCACTATGAATAAATGAAGACGATATATGGATGCCAAACAGGTATTAAAGGCATTAAATGCGATGAGTGATGATGAGCCTGATGGTTTGAGATATCTTTGGTTGCCTCAGCACTATAGTTGATGACAAAAAAAAAATAATTTCATCACTCTAGACATTACTTTCCGAAGACAGTGGCATAATACCAATACAGGCTCACTGGAAATGCCTGTTTCATCCTACATTGTTGTGAAACTGCAAAAACATCTGACTGCAGTTTCTAAGTAAAATTAAAGCTACAGGACAGTAATAATTTTACAGGGATGTATTACGTAAGGTGACATTTCTCAAGCACGTTCCTGGAAGACCACCAGCTTTGCACATTTTCACAGACTTGTGTTCTTGGGAAGACTGATCCTGCCAAGTTACCTCAGAAGAACGAATATGGGAGACCGCGAAACCGAGAACGCGTCCTGTGAGAAATGAGATGCTGCGTTCATCCTGATGGACACATGACCTTCACGCATTTATAATGGAAACGGATTTAAACATTAAAGCATTCATACAACGTTTTCTTGTTTTTCCCCTTTTCACAATATATTCCACGGATAAAAACCTTACAAATATATGTTGCACAATAGTCAAATCAAGCTGTTTTATATAGCACATTTCATACTCAGTGGCAATTCAAATTGCTTTACATAAACAAGAATAAAAAAAAGACAAGTATACGAAAATAAAAAACACATAAAAATAATCAAAAAGATAAAAACTGAGTAAAACATGGTAAAACAGGTTATAAGAGAATGAAAAAGAAAATAAAGACGCAATAGTGTGATCTATCAGATGCAGCACAGTGCTCATTCAGTAAAGGCACAGCTAAACAGATGTGTTTTCAGTCTTGATTTGAATGTGTCTAATGTTGGAGCACATCTGATCATTTCGGGAAGCTGATTCCAGCAGCGAGAGGCGTAGTAGCTGAAAGCCGACATTTAGCGATTTATAGACCAGTAATAATACTTTAAAATCTATTCTGAATGTGACTGGGAGCCAGTGTAAAGACCTGAGGACAGATGTGATGTGCTCTGATTTTCTGCTTCTAGTCAGAATCCTTGCCGCAGCGTTCTGGATAAGCTGCAACTGTCTGACTGTTTTTTTTGGGGAAGGCCCATGAGGAGGCCGTTACAGTAATCCACCCTGCTGCTGATAAAAGCATGAACAAGTTTTTCTAAGTCTTCACTGGAAACAAAGCATCTAATTCTTGCTATGTTGTTGAGATGACAAATAAATACTGTACAGTATGACAAAATAAATAAAAACAGATTTTAATATAAATATCAGCAAATAAACACCCTTAATGTGTTTATTACGTTATTAAGATTCTCATGGAGATGTTTACTTTCACCATCTCATTTAGATAAACTCCTGAGACAAATAAGTTGTATCTCTGAACTTTAATAATAAATCTAAATTAAATGCTGCGCTTCCCATCTCCTTTACTCGGCCGCAATCACTTCTGTGACTTCTCGAGCGGGCTTTCCACTTAAGTCTGCATCGGTGCATTCTCTATATCAAGAACACATGCGGGAACTTTCACACGTCCTCTGTTCTTGCGGTCTTGAGTTTTGGAACTGAACTTTGGCAGTTGATGATGACTTTACATGAGAACACGAGGATGCAAGATCACTGAAGAACACATATTGAGAAACAGGCTATGTCTCCTTAGCCAAACACATCTGATTCAGATCATCAGCTCATTAGCAGAGGTTAAAAGCCCTGTAATGGGTGTGACAGACAAAGGAGACATCCAAAACATGTAGTGTTGGTGGTCCTCCAGAAATGTGGTTGAGAAATACCGGCGTAAGGGATAAAGGCGTTATCGCAGAATAAGCACTGGTTCGTTAACACCTGACGCAAAGCCAAGGGCTGTTGTATAAGACTGAAAGGCTTCATTCTTCAAAAACAACAGCCTTAATGTGCAGTACTTTATCCTGATTTTTACATGGCTACTTAAAAATTAAACAAAACATTATTCTGAGCCATAATAGTTTATAGTTCTTTAATTAAAGCAAAACTGATAAAAATGAAAATGACTGATTGGAGCATACACTAACCTAGTTGTTATTGAGTCACAAGATGACACCAAAAACAGTTAAAAACAGCAGAGCAAACATGCAAGCATATATATATATATATTAGGTAGTGCTGTCGCCTCATAGCAAGACGGTCACTGGTTCGAGCCTCGGCTGGGTCAGTTGCCGTTTCTGTGTGGAGTTTGCATGTTCTTCCTGCATTCACGTGGGTTTTCTCCGGGTGCTCTGGTTTCCCCCACAGTTCAAAGACATGCGGTACAGGTGAATTGGGCAGGCTAAATAGGCTAAGTTGGCTGTTCATTCCGATGTGGCGACCCCGGATTAATAAAGGGACTAAGCCGAAAAGAAAATGAATAAATAAATGAATGAATGTATTTATAGATAGTCAAGATTCGAAGATTTGAAGTACCTGGATGAGCCTGTTTTATTAGTTCGGTGGTTATTATCGGGGAATAACATAGCTTGGAATGTTGTGATTGACCAATCGAATTCAAGTTTTCCAGACACTTGTGAAATAATAATGAATAATAATATTTTCCTGTAGTTCTTTGCACAAAGCCAAATAAAAACCAACAAAACTATCTAAAAATGACTACAGTTTGTTACCGAATAAATTTGCCTCAACTATCTATTTCCAAACTGACAAATTTTCTGATGAGGTCAGTTTTGTTGATAGCTTACTTTGTATGATGTTGTGTTTATGTATTCAGATTTGAGCCTGGTGAGTCTGGTTCCACAAAAGAAGATAAAAACAAAGTAGAATCAAGGTGAAACTATGTAGTTGAAGTGCACATTTCTCTTTCAATTGTTTTTAAAAACAATATTGGCTTTGTTTAGGGAAGGGTTTAGATCAGATAGCGGTGATCTGTATGATAAGCCCCGCCTTTTGTGGAACTGTACAAGAAGAATGTGTATTTAAAACGTATAACAAAACAAACCCTAAGAAAAACATTTCAGATTTGCAAAAATGTATACAGCACCCTCTAGTGGATTTTTAATCTGAAACGTGCAACGACATGCATCAGGAGCAATGTATTTCATGTTTCACAACAATGTACTGCAAGCAGAGAAACGTATTTCCAATGACTAAATGCTGTGACATCATGCAATTTGGAGCCACATCAAAGCAGTAGTCATGTAAATAAGTAAACTTTACAATCTGGTGGCATTACTCACTAAATATGTAACCCTGCGTTATGTGTATGTGTGGTTTTGGAGGGCTACCTTTGAACTCTGCTCCGCTGGGGCTGATGTGCATCCTCTTCTGACATTCACCACAGCTCATCAGGAAACGGGTCACCGCTTCTCTGGGCAGAAACGCATATGTCTCCGCTATCTGACACACAAAAACAAAGAGTATTAACACTTCAACACTCATTGGTTTCACACATTCAAACTCTGAGGGCTTAAGAAATCTGATTCTGTAGTGGCAAAGCTTTTGTGCTATTTGTAAGGTAAACTGTTCTCTGATCAGAGGCGACAGTGGCAATTTATAAGAAAGATGGAACAAGGGTGATTATGAAAAAAAATGCAGAACAGTTACCCAAACATGAAAAGAAATGAAAGCCATAAATCAGTAAGAGTGTTTGTTTATTTATTCATTCACTTGATTTCTTTTTGTACAAGAGATGTGAACGAGTAATCATCTAGCTTTACATGCAATTTTATAGTCATTTATGTGATTTATTTATACTTTTCATTTTTGAAATAACCTGAAATGTGTAGACATTGATTCCTTTTAAATGAATGCATAAATGTTCATTTATTTATTTATTATATTCATATTTGGAGATGTTAATATCTGGATGATTTTAATTTACTTTTAAATGTTTATTTATTCTTTTTCTTTTAAATTAGAGATATGTTCATTTATTTTCTTTCTTATATTATTTTTATATTATTGTATATTCATATACTTATTTCAATTTATTTTTATTTAATGGGTTGTTTGTACAGTATATTTATTCATTCTTTTCATTTTAGGAGAATCGATTTAATGTTTCACAATTGATTAACCAGCTTCTATGCTTTTTCTATTATACTGTATAATAATAGTAATTTATGGTGAAGCAGTGCCGCAGTAAGTAGTGCTGTCGCCTCACAGCAAGAAGGTCACTGGGTCGCTGGTTCGATCCTCGGCTCAGCTGGCGTTTCTGTGTGGAGTTTGCATGTTCTCCCTGCGTTCGCGTGGGTTTCCTCCGGTCGCTTAGGTTTCCCCCACAGTCCAAAGACATGCGGTACAGGTGAATTGGGTAGGCTGTAGTGTATAAGTGTGTGTGAATGTGTGTGTGGATGTTTCCTAGAGATGGGTTGCGGCTGGAAGGGCATCCGCTGCGTAAAAATGTGCTGGATAAGTTAGCGGTTCATTCTGCTGTGGCGACTCCGGATTAATAAAGGGACTAAGCCGACAAGAAAATAAATGAATGAATAAATGAATGATAGATAGTAATTATATATGTGCACTATTGTAAACAATAATCATAAAAATCTACAATTTTTTATGAAATCCAATATATATGTCTTCAGGAAGGTGTAAATTGAGATAAAAGTACATATTTGTTGATTCATATTTATATTGATTCAAATGTTTTTTCATTTTGAAGAATACTAGCTTTTAAAGAACCCTAAAGCTAACACATACATTATAAAAGCCAAAAGCTTTTGATTTCATTGAGTATTATAATATCTTAAAAGATACTATAATGTTTAAGTGTATACATGGTCTTGCCCCTTAAGTAGTCTGTGAGTTTGTACATAAATTCAGCAGTGATGTGGCACAGACTAGAGGGACAGTAAGTGGGAATTGTAGAATCCGCAGATGCAGAACCGCTCTGGGTCAGTCATCCTTTTCAGTAAAAGGTTCACATCTATGGAATGCCATGCCTGTTCATTTAAAGTTACTATCAGAACTCAACAGTTTTTTTTTTCTGTAAAACTGAAAGAATTGTTAAAATCTTTACAGCAATGTGAGCATTAAGTATTATTCTTTCAGGTTGGCCACGTTTACACTTCTCTTTATGCAAATTGACTTGCATTTTATGTTTGTGGCTCTGTAAATATTGTGCATGTTTTTTGTATTGTGTTTTATTCTTGATTGTTTCGTTTTTTTTATTTAATGTAAAACCTAACCAGGGACGAGGGCTGCAAATTAGCTTTATGCTATATGCTCTATGTACGCAACATTGGTTATCTTTGTAAAACAATGTCAACTGTATTGTCCCTGTGAAATAAACAAGCACATAAAAAAAATCTGTTTTAATATGATGCATCGTGATTTTCAGATCTTGTGTGTTTGGAATTTGTTTGAGAGGAAAATCTTCTAATTTTTGTTGACTTCATTTTACATGATGTTTCACAAGCAATCATCTAGGCTAGTTTAACTTTATTTATTTATCTCATTTACTGAGATATAATTAGATTTTTAAAATAAATGTGCAGTGGCACGGTGGCTTTTTTCGCTGTGTTTGCGTGGGTTTCTAGTCCAAAGACATGCGGTACAAGTGATTTGGATGAACTAAACTGGACGTAGTGTGTGTGTTTGTGAATGAGATTATACTGGTGTTCCCTAGTTCTGGGTTGTGCCTGTAAGGGCTGTGTAAAACATAGGCCAGAGTAGTTAATGGTTCATTCTGCTGTGGCAACCATTGATAAATCAGAGACTAAGCCAAATAAATGTGCAAAAGTAAATCACCTAAATGCTATTATCTGAGATTTTTTTTTCAAATGACTTAATTACAAAAGTACACATTCTCCTTACATTGTTACCAGATTTAATGATGAAAAAAAACAAAAGAAGCAATTTTACAAAAAACGAATATTTTCTTAGATTTCACAATACTCTCATGCAGTTACATCTAAATACTGACATTTTCCTCTTAACCATCTTTATTTCATGTAATTCTGAGTTTGTATCTTGATAATCTGACTTTAACTCTTGCATTTTCTTTTTTCTTTCGCAGTTTTCTTCTCAGTAATTTCAGATTGTATCTCTTAGTTTGCAGGAAATTATCAACTTGTTTTTTTTTTACATAAAACTTAAGATAATACTTCACAGTTCTAAAAAGAAAATTATTAATTATGAGATAAACTTGATCAATCAATGCATGATTTCACAAACAGGACTTAGCTAAAACCAGGACTAGCTTACACACAGCTTTATGCACAGCTAGAGTTTTAAAGCCAACAATAAACCTCTGCTATATGTTTAATGTGATTTTCAATTTCATAAGGTTGCTTTTGCAGCATCGATGTTGTAACGTAATTACAATACATTCAGTTAAATAGACTTTAGCATTCATTTAGTTGTTCAAGAATAAAACGAGATGAAAAACCACGTAACCACTAGCACTGCCAGGATCAGCAGGCTAACACAGAAACTCCATTGAAAATACCGGGGTAAAATAAATAGTCATATTTTAAAGACATGGCAGGGGAAAAAAGGAATTGAAAGCAGTGGTCCTTGTCTGGTCTGAGACCCACTTCATATCGTATATCTAAACAGGCATTGAAGACTTTTCAAGAAATCAGACCTTAAACATGGCAATTTTATAATGGAAAAACAGTTCACCTGAAGCGCTGAGGCTGGCTGGCTGCGACTAAAATGTTTTTTTTTGAGTGTAATTAGCTTATATTTAGATAGATTTTATAAAGAAAACACCTTAGAAAACACATTAATACTGTATTACTGTTCTGTACTGTAATACTGTTTATCCATTGACAAAACAGTGGTGTTAATGTTAACTATTATTTATATACGTCACCAAAATTACTTTTCAAATTCAAACAAGCAGTTTAATCTAGGACACGGGTGTTCACACTCGGCCCTGGAGGGCCGGTACCCAACAAAGTTTAGTTTCAACCCCAATCAGACACACCTGGACTAGCTAATCAAGCTTTTAGGCTTTCTAGAAACATCCTTGCAGGTGTGTTGAGGTAAGTTGGAGCTAAAATCTGCAGGACACCAGCCCTCCAGGAACGAGTTTGGACACCCCTGTTCTAGCACTTATCATATACCAAATACACAATTATCCTTAAGTAACACTTGTAAGTTTCCATAAAACTCCTTGGACCTTGTTATAATTGCACATAAATCCTTACACACACACTGAAAGAAGATCAGCATGGTCTTACATTCTTTCACACAAACACTCTATCAGCCAAACAATGTAATTCATTATTACACAGTGCATCATTTGTAATTTGCACATGATTAACAACTATAAATCACAACGAATCCTGTTCCACACTCAAACACAGCTTTTAAGCCATTTATTCAACATCGGCTCTCGACGTGTAGAAAACAAATGACATATTCTTAGTGTATAATTTTCCCTTATATGCACACTCTCTATATGTATCATTTTACCCAGTTGTCTCTGTGTGTGTGTGTTCAGTTTCTCCGTCTTCCACCTTTCTGCCATTAAAGTGGACAAAGAAATAAAGCACACCCCCACACTGAGCGTCCCTCGTGCCTCTCCAATCTCCCATGAGGCTCTAACAAACAAGCATGAGCGGCCGAGCAACCACAGCTGGAGGGTATAACATGTATGTGTGTGTGTATTACGAAAGGCAGAAGCAGAACTAAACACACAAACCCCACCACAGCTCTGAAACAAGAGGCAGAAAAAGAAAAAACTCCACATTCTTCTTTCCAGCTCTCTGATTCCTGCAGGAGATCCTATGAGAAGGAACACAAACCCAGATGGCTGTCCTCCCTGCAAATCTAGAATAGCTGTCAGAAACAATCAAGAGAACAATAAAGAGTCTGGGGTTTTAAACTTCGATGTCATAGATCAAATATTGTTACTCAATAGTGTTTTTAAAACCAAAGTGAAATATTAAGACAGCATTAACTCAGTTTACAGTATTTGCGCATGTCTTCATTTAAAATCTTAAATTAAAATATTTAAATTACTACTGGTTCATGTAGAATAGTTGTTTGGATTTTTATTTGCCCTGCAAAATTTTCACTGGCCTATGAAAACATAAAAATAATATTTTTTTTTAAATAAAATCTTAAATATTAATAATGATACTCAATAGCATTTTCTAACCTAAAGATATAAAGAAATAATACAACAGCATTACTTAAATTTACAATATTTAGGCACATCTTCATTTCTCCTAATTTTTCGGAGTTAATTTACTTTATTAAATTTGTTATGGGTCCAGTTAGTTAAATTATTTTCCATGTCTAAATTTTCACTAGCTAAAATAAAATAAAATAAAATTAAATTAAATTAAATAAAATTAAATAAAAAATTAAATAAAATAAAATGAAAAATAAAACGAAAAATAAAATAACATAAAATAAATAAAAAACAAAATAAACCAAAAAATAAATAAATAAACCAAAATAAAATAAAATAAAAAATAATAAAATAAAATAAAAAAACGAATGAAATAAAATAAACCAGAATAAAATAAAATAAAAACAAAAGATAAATAAAAGTAAAATAAAATGAAAATAAAATAAAATAAATTAAATAAACTAAAATGAAATAAAATAAAAAAACAAAATAAAATAAACCAAATAAAATAAAATAAACCAAAATAAAATAAACCAAAATAAATTCAAATAAATAAAAATAAAATAAAAAACAAAATAAAATAAGCCAAATAAAATAAAATAAAATAAACCAAAATAAAATAATAAAATAAAATAAATTAAATTTAAAAAAAAAATAAAATAGTAGTTTTGTTTTAGTGCTTTGCTTTAAATCATGTAAAATTTAAATAAATAATGCCACATAAAACTATAATAAATATCACAAATTTATTATTAAAATTATTAAATTAACTTTTACTTTGCAACAAACATGTATGTGTTCCTCATTATTATTATTTTTTCCAAAATAAACATACATTCCAATTTTCAACATGTTTAATCAATACAAATCTTAAGAAACACATTAAATAATGTTTGTCTATTGTCTGCAATGAAATACAAGTCAACATTAGTTTAGAAATCCCTACTTTCTTTTTTTATTTGCGTTTCCCATACAGTGCCAACATATTCTGATTTGGGGTTGTACTAGCCCACGGGTGTCAAACTCAATTCCTGGAGGGCCGAAGCCCTGCACAAATTAGTTCCAACCCTGCTCCAACACACTTACCTCTAGGTTTCAAACAAGCCTGAAGGACTCAATTAGTTTGATAAGGTGTGTTTAATTAGGGTTGGAACTAAACTGTGCAGAGCTGCGGACCTTTTGGAACTGAGTTTGACACCTGTGTACTAGCCTAACAACTAAAGACAACCAAGCTGTCAGTAGTATGCACATAAGCAAATTAAATCAAATAAAACAACCAGATGCATTACAATAATTATACACATTAAGCCAGTGTTCTTCCAGTAGACCTCACAGTGATTTCATTTCATAGTAATGATGGCAGCAGGTTTCTGTCCCTTTAAGAAATAAAAGAGTGCAGCAGGTGTCATTACTGTAGAAGAGAGATTTTGTATAGTTTCAGGATACTGTAGTTATTCTATCAAAATATTGCTTCGATTGACAACACTAGCATGGAGAGCACAATATCTGCATGTCATCGCATATAACATAAATGATTTATGAAACAACCAAAAAACAAACTTATTATTTATTGGTAATATTTGTGACAAAAAAACTGAATGCACTTTTGTTAGTGTCCAAAAGAGGGCAGCAGCACTGGAGATGTGCATAAACGGCAGGTGAGAGTGAGTGGCTTATAACACTCAATTTTCCTGACAGCACTGAAGATGCTCACAGCAACTTTGTATACGTCTGACCTACAGCTCGTCTCTTCTGCAAATGAATGCTGACAGAAAAAAAGAAAAGAAAAGGGGGGAAGTGGTGGCTCAGTGGTTAGCATGATCGCCTCACAGCAAGACGGTTGCTGGTTCGAGCCCAGTTTGAGTGTTGCCGTTGGTTTTCTCCGGGTGCTCTGGTTTCCCCCACAGTCCAAAGACATGCGCAATAGGTGAATCTTATGAACTAAATTGGCCGTAGTGTATGAGTGTGAATGAGTGTGTGTATGGATGTTTCCCAGTACTGGGTTGCAGCTGGAAAGCATCCGTTGTGTAAAACATATGCTAGATAAGTTAGCGGTTCATTCCACTGTGGTCACCCCTGATGAACAAAGGGACTAAGCAGAAGGAAAATAAATGAATGAATGAAGAAAAGAAAGAAAAAAAGAAGTGCAGAACAGGAGAAGAAAATAGGCAAAAATAAAGAGAAAAGAAATCATGCAAAAAAGCATAACAAATGAAAATATAAAAACTATATAAAATAAAAATATAATGAAAAAAATAAATTGAAATACAGTAGGAAGAGTAAATAAAAGTAGTAATAAAGGGTTTATAAAATACTTTACAACATGAATTTAGAAATGCAAAAATAAAGTCAAAGAAATACCAAAAAATGGAAAATGCACAAATATAAAGTAAAATGCTGAAATAAAATACATCTTATACAATTTCTGTTTAACGGAGAGAAGATTTTTTCAACACATTTCTAAACATAATAGTTTTATTAACTCATTTCTAATAACTGAATTATTTTATCTTTGCCATGATGACAGTAAATAATATTAGACTAGAAATTTTTCAAGACACTTCTATACAGCTTAAAGTGACATTTTACTAGGTTAATTAGGTTAACTAGGCAGGTTAAATAGCTTAAAGGGGCTAATAATACTGAGCTTAAAATGGCTTTTAAAAATTTAAAAACTGCTTTTATTCTAGCTGAAATAAAACAAATAAGACTTTCTCCAGAAGAAAAAAATATTCTCAGACTTACTGTGAACATTTCTTTGCTCTGTTAAACATCATTTGGCAAATATTTAAAAAAGAAAAAAAAATCAAAGAGAGGCAAATAATTCTGACTTCAACAATACATAAAGAAATTCATAAAGATATTTATAGACCATTTTGAGGAAGGTAAACGATAACAATGGTCCTAATGTATTCCCTGTTTTGCATGTTTAATTTCTATAGCTTTCAAGTATCCAAAATGAGACACATATTAATAAATAATGTTATGGTGGCTGCTTTAACATGAAGATATGATTAAATTGCCTCATTACAGTGAAATAGTTTGACAAGAAGCTGGAAATGTTCATGGACCAATGGCATGACCACACTGAAATGGTCTAGAAAGAAATGCAGAAATGCAGAAAGAAATGCAGAAAGAAAGAAATGCAGAAAGAAAGAAAATATATAAATGCTGAAAAGAAAAGAATGTAATGTAATGTAAAATTTAATGTAATGTGTATTTATATGGCGCATTTATTGTGTATGGCCATACACCCAAAGCGCTTCACCATCATGAGGGGGGGGGGGTCTCTTCACACCACCACCAGTGTGCAGCATCCACTTGGATGATGCGACGGCAGCCACAGGACAACGGCGCCAGTGCGCTCACCACACACCAGCTATTGATGGAGTGGAGAGACAGTGATAGAGCCAATTTGGTGGAAGGAGATGATATGATATTTGGTGATGGAGACTATGATCGTGAGGGCCGATAGAGGGACTTTGGCCAGGACACAGGGGTAACACCCCTGCACTTTCACGAGAAGTGCCATGGGATTTTTAATGACCACAGAGAGTCAGGACCTCGGTTTAACGTCTCATCCGAAAGACGGCGCCCGCTGACAGTTTAGTGTCCCCTTCACTTTTACCGGGGCATTAGGACTCACACAGACCACAGGTTGAGCGCCCCCTGCTGGCCTCACTAACACCACTTCCAACAGCAACCTAGTGTTCCCTAGTGGTCTCCCATCCAGATACTAACCAGGCTCAGCCCTGCTTAGCTTCAGTGAGTAATCGGTCTTGGGCTGCAGGTTGATATGGCTGTGGCCGAAGAAAACTGTATTGAGAATCCAGAAAAAAAAGGAAAAAGCAAAATGCCAAAAGAAAAGCAGAAAGTTTAATAAATTCACAAAACATGCAATAAATAAAAGAAACCAAGTGAACAAAACATTTGCAGAAACAAAATAGAAAACCATTCACACAATTCAAAAAGACAAAAAATATATAAAAAAGGAAATGTGGAATACAAAAAGTTGGCAATTCATTCCTCTGTGGTGACCTCTGATAAATAAAAGACTAACCAAAGGAAAATGAATGTACTGTGGAATACAAAAAAATGCACAAAGACATTAAGAGTGAAAAGAAAGAAGGAAAGAAAGAAAGAAAGAAAGAAAGAAAGACATGTAAAAAACATTTAGAATACGAATGCAGAAAAAAAAGTTACAAAAAAACAAAGCCGCAAAGAAATGAGGTTCCCACATAGCACTGCCTCCAGCTTCTCTTTATTGTCTAATAAAGCATATTCTGACTGATTCACCCAAAACTCACAGAGGCCAGCGAATCTCTGCTACAAATCATACCAGGACAACACACACAGCAGGAGAGCAGCTCACACCACGAGCCCCTCGCTGCTCTTCAGAACAACCACAGGGGAAATAAATCAGCCTGACAGAGTACGGGACACTTTCCCTGACACACATGTACAGGCGGGCAGAAAGAGCCACACGGGGTATTAAATCTAAACTGCATGAGGCCAAAAAACACACTTCCATGTTTTATCAGGGAAAGAAGCCCCTCGCTTTACCCACCGCTTTGTAGGTTTTCTTCTGTCCGGCGTGTTTGGGGGCTTTGGCCGGGTCACTGCTGATCTCCACATGCATGGCATAGATGATGTCATAGAAGTCCTCCACCACTGCCACCCTTTTCAGAGAGGAGCCGTCCGGTCCCAGGACCCCATCCACACACTGGAAGTACAGACACAGGATATTTACTTATAATGATTTGACTGTTATGCTTTTACATCGACACAACAACAATTATCACGGCAGGATTTCTGAAACATACACTAAAAAAGCTGGGTTGTTTTATCTCAGATTATTTATAATGGGTACACTATTAACCCCTGATCACAAATTTGACAAAACCATGCTGTGACGATTATAGTTTGAACCATAATGACCATTTATGTCTGTTTTACACACAATTGGGTTTAATGGGAGTCACGGTGGCGCAGTGGGTAGCACTATTGCCTCACAGCAAGAAGGTCACTGGTTTGAGCCCCAGCTGGGTCAGTTGGCATTTCTGTGTGGAGTCCCCACGTTGACGTGGGTTTCCTCCAGGGTGCTCCAGTTTCCCCCACAGGTCCAAAGACATACGCTTTAGGTGAATTGGGTAAGCTAAATTGTCTGTATACAGTGTTTGAGTGTGTATGGATGTTTCCTATGGATAGGTTGCAGCTGGAAGGGCAGCCGCTGCACAAAACATATGCTGGATAAGTTGGCGGTTCATTCCGCTGTGGCGACCCCAGATTAATAAATGACTAGAAATAATAAACAAAAACTACTTGCTCTACAAACAAGTGAGTTCATTACTGTACATACAAATTTGAAAAATTCATTCATTCATTTTCCTTCGGCTTAGGCCCTTTTTTATGAGGGATCACCACAGCGGAATGAACCACCAACATTTTTATCATATGCTTTACGCAGTGGATGCCCTTAAAGTAACAACCCAGCACTGGGAAACACCCATACACTATATCCAATTTAGTTTATTCAATTCACTTAAAGCATGTCTTTGGACTGTGGGGGAAATCGAAGCACCCGGACGAAACCCATGCAAACACAGGGAGAACATGCAAACTCGACCGGGACTTGAACAAACAACCAAATTAGTTGCCAAAATTAGTATAATATAATAGGAAAATGTCAGTTTGCAAAGTAAAGCAGCACAACAAGCTATTTTACCATCTAAAAATCAATGGAAGTGAATGAGACAAAAAGATTCAAATGCCTGCATCCGGTCATATGTGAAGAAAAAGGGCAATTGAACCTTGATTTCTGTGCAGGGCATTTTTGATGTTGAAAAGTTTAACAAAGTGACTTTTATGGACACTTTAACTCATTTTTTAATGATATACTGTGCAGGGTACTGAGCTGCCAGTACTTTATTGTTTTAAATTACTAAAGATCAGTGTTGAGGAAAGCTACTTTATAAAGTAATTCATTACAACATTGAGTTACTCCCCAAAAAGTAGTTAGTTGTCTACTTGTTTTACAGTAAGTCATGCAATACGTTACTTTTGAGTTCCTTTTGCGTCACTGTTTATTACCTGTCTAAGGCTTGATCTCTTTCAGAACTTAATGGAAGGGGCTCTGTATTTAACAATGCACTGTATAACCTACACCTAAAATTACCTTAAAAAAAACCACAAAAAATAATATTTTAGCATAATGTTATTTCAGAACTTCCTTGTCTCAAGTAAAACCACTGTACATTGAAACAATCCCCTTTATCTTTTCTTAAATGCGTTCAAAATAATGAACACATTGTCTCATTGACTGCGTAATCCAATGTGACTACTTTAATTTTAATTTATTTTTTAAAAGGCGAATCAATTAAACTAAAAAGTAACTTGCATTAGAGCTGGGCGATATAGCAAAAATGCAATCTTGATCATTTTTGTTCCATATTGAATGATAACGATATATATTTCGATATAAGTTGTTAATGCTTTCAGATTTAAAAGAGTACGCCAACATTGACTGAAACCACAAAAATAGAGGGTCTGTTAAACAACAACATATTTTCAGCCTATTTCCATTTCTAATATGAAGAAAAACCTTTATTTGTCACAACACTGTTACATGCGGCGAAATTGGACCCCTTCGACCATCACTCATTTCAGGGGTAGACAGAGACGTAGCATATAAAAATAGAAAATAAGATACATTGGGGGAAAAGGAGGTTAAAAAAAGTTAACATATCATTGTTATTGAGATACATTTTATTGCGATTCGATATAATAACGATATTTATCCCAGCTCTAACTCACATTACATTTTCAAAAAAGTAACTCAAATATTATTACTTTTTTTTTTTTTTTTGGAAATGTGTTAATTTACTTGTTACTTAGAAAACTAATATTATTACATGACTCGAGTAACTTGTAATGCGTTACCCCCAACACTGCTAAAGGTTTTATTAAAGTGTTGAACTGCATTTTCATCATCACAGAAAATATAATGACAGAAAACAGTAAACAGAAAAAACCCTTGAAGCAATAGGCAGCTGTTAATAAACTGATACTTTTACAGTACATATAAATATAACAGAAATCTAATTATGTTAAACACCAAATATTTTAATCACAGAAAAAATGTAATTCACTTTCTATTTTTAGCCATTAGTCAGTGAACTGTGATACATATAAGTTAAATATACATATTTTACATTAAGATAATTGCCATGTGCTTTCTTTGTGTCATTATTAACTGATAATTGATGCAGACATGATTTCAAGGAAGAACCTGATTTTGTCACAACACTGATTCCAATTAGTATCCTCTCTAAAAACCCCTTCACTTTCTGAAAATAGACTGCAAGCTTGAATTTCGAACTGCCTCTTGGTTTATGTCACTGAGAATGAGGATGAAACGATCTGTCATACCTCCATTTCATAGCAACTTTAGATTTTTATTTACACAGAAAGCCCAAGCAAAGAGAAACTGTCCTCTTAAACAAAGAAAATGAGGAATAATTAAATATAAATAATACAGAATACATAATGCGCAGAATAACTCATTTGAATTTAGAAGGCTGTCTAAAATCAAAACAATGGAGAAAGAACCGAGAACTACAAAGGCTCTGGCTCTCAGCGGGACTTTTAAATGCTGAAAGAGCAATTCTGGGGAGACCCTCTCTTGTCCCATATGAGGAGCAGCAATGGAGAGACCAGACTTAAAGCAAGAATAATCATCACAAATACATTGTCCATGATATATACAGTATTTATGGTCACAGCATGGTGCTTTCATGTAAAACTATGAAACTCCATGCTTTAAAAAATAATGAGGGGCATATTTCACACATACTGATCTTTTTTTATTTGTCTGTACAGCATCAGGTCTGCTGAACAGTAAATGGTAGTTTGGGGATCCAGATCCCACCGGAGGGACAACCTCATTACCGTGGTAACCACTGCTGGCCCCTTGGGTAGATGTGCAGGGCAGAAGGGTCATGTGACACACAGCATCAAGGCGAAGTTGGACTAGCAAGTAGGAAACTCAACCCAGCATCTGTAGCTTCCTTTCCTTTCATCACCCACTACTGCAGCCTCAGTTCTTCACCTCCAACATGGTCTCTGCTCAGACCCCCCAGACACCTCATACAGGGATTTTGATCATGAACGCAAAGGTGTATCACATTTATTCATCATAAATTATTATATGAAAAATGTATTTTTATCCTCAATGTTATGGTGTATCATCTACAGTGAGATGCTTTCGCAAAATAAATCTTTTAGACCTTCTCTACAGTGGATTAATCTGGTAATGTTTGTATTTGTGTTAGTGTGGACTGTAAACAGAGGACCCTGTTTTAATGGCGTAAGCTGCACTTACAGAAGGACATGTCTCAATACACTACTGCTAGTTTAACAATGGAAATAACATGGTTGGTAAGGCGCCCCACAAGTTGTCAAAAAGGTTTTTCCCTACTCTCTTAATGAGAGTGGGTGAGTTTGGGTCTTATTACAAGCCAGTTGAGCTCGCTTCACTATTTACATGGACTATTTACATTTACATTCACATAACGCAAAACTGAGATACTGTTGATATATCTGTGTGTTGCCATTTGCCACCTTGCCATAACTGTGGTATCCCAATAATAAAAATAATTGATTAATTAATTAATAAATAAAAAAAATCTGGCTGACATCATGACATCATGACATTACATGACATGACATCAGAATTACCCCAACATCGTGGGGATGTAGCATTTTGTTTGGAAATGAAAATCGGTTGACGTCAACACCCAACAGCAGGCCGACATCAGCATGTCCAAGTCCAACCTAAAATCAACCAATAATCAACGTCTAATGAAGTTACATCTGATGTTGTGTGGACGTTACCACTGTGACATCTATCAGATGTTGGACTTAGGTTGCCATACCTGATAAATAAATGTCAGTATTTGACAGCAATGTGACGGTTTAAGATGTTGGCTGGACGTTTGATTTTGGTCATTTTTCAACAAAAACTAAAATCAACCAAATATCAATGTCATTTGGCGTTGCTATTAGATGTCAAAATAACATTACCCTTAGATGCTGGCTAGACATTAAATTTTGATCACCTGACATAACGGTCTAAATCTAACCTAATATTAACATCTTGTGACCTGCTGGCTAAATGCAGAGAATCTGCTCCTTTTTTATATGTTTATATGCTCAGATATTTGTACAATTTTATAAAAAAAAATTGCTGTTGGTTTTTAAATGCTGAAAGTGTTAATATATAAATACTGTATAAAGCCCTTTATTCCACTTAAATCATCCTGTTGCCTATCTAAATTTTTCCCAACAGCCCACACCACTGGTCTGAATTATGGGAATACATTTCATTAAACTGCCGTAAATCAGATCCTCCATTGAATATAAAAGGAAACATATTAGAATTAGGCAACATGGTGACTTAGTGGTTAGCACTGTCGCCTCACAGCAAGAAGGTTGCTGATTCGAATCCCGGCTGGTTCAGTTAGCATTTCTTTGTTGAGATTTGATACTCTCCCCGTATTGCCGTGGGTTTCCTCCAGGCGTGCACTCCAGTTTCCCCCACAGTGCAAAGACATGCGCTATAAGTGAATTGGGTAAACTAATTGGGCGTAGCGTATGTATGTATCTTTGAGTCTGAATGAGTGTGTATCGGTGTTTCCCAGTACTGGGTTGCAGCTGGAAGGGCAT